TGCTATACTTTATGACAGAGGAGACTCTTTGAAAATCCAGTGAAAAGCACGTCTAATTAGTGACAAATTGTGCCCTGTAGCCATCAGAAGGCTTAGTGTTGGCGAGGTATATGCGTTTTTCCACAGGGGATTATTTTAATGCTTGATTTTTGCATTTAAGCTAACTTTAAGATACATCCAAAGAGGCTGGGATGACGTCGCCTCGTTGACTCATCATCAATCCCAGTGCAACTTGTGCCGCACGACGTTCAAGATAACGCAGGTCTCTCTAAATGTACTTCTTTTTGGAGGGAATTTTGTACAGTTAGGCAATCAGGATTCCCCCATTACATTACTCATACTACTGATGTTGTGGGCAGTGGAGAAATCTGGTTGCAAACTGAAAATCTAGTCGACTTTGTAGAGAAAAGTGTTAGTGACTGAACAAATCAGTAGTGCACAGTTATGGCTTCGGAGAGGCTTGCTTTGCCCCTTAGGCCATGTGGTCTTTAACTCACTGGCTCGAGTCCCGCTGGTGTTGCTTACGGAGTCGTGGGGTGGGATTGAAAGTGAAGTCCAAGCTGGAGGAAACCAGTCAGGGCAGTTAGTTGGTGTAAGTTGAAAAGTTGTTAGAGGACGTTGATTAGAGGAGGTGAATCACTTGCCTTTAAGCTTGACGTATTTGGTGGCCAGTGGCCCGAGGTGAAAGTTGAAAAGAGATACGAATAACCTCAAAGCGATACTATACAAGAAGGGTGGCTTGTAGGCCAGACGCGGACAGTTGACGCGACAAAGTGGCTATACCAGACAGATCTTCACGTAGATCCTGTCGTTTCGCAGGAATCTCGACTCGACGCCGTCATCAAAGCCGATGATCTCGCCCAACTCAGCAAAACGAGGAAAGCCCCAGCCCGAGTTGTGTTGGCTAGATACGGCCGACGGCTGGTCCCAGATGCCTTTCTCGTCCGAGTCCATGTGGTATGGCTTGAGGACTCGGTAGACGTCGTCTCTGGCCTCCGTCTGGTCGAGGAGGGTGAGCGCGATCTCCTGATCGAACGGCCAGACGAGTTGGCCGTCGAAACGGCCCGGCACAAGTCGGACAAAGAGGCCGAGATGGTCGGTGGTCAGCTCGACCTTGGCCTGCAGACAATAGCCCGGACTGCCCAGATGGA